TTATATTGATAAAATTATAAACTGTTAATAAAATTTTTATTATTTCACTCTTCTATATGACTTAAAGCACAGATAGAATATATGAACTTGCATTAGAAACAACGGCAGAAACAGAAGTGCATGTACAATTCCTGAAAATGAATATGGAAATGATTCTCGTTAAATTGAAATATAATCATCAAAATTGTGTAAATAAACAATGGAATGTTAGAATATGCATTAGATTATTCCATGCTAATTTTGCTTCTTCACCGCTTTTAAGCCTGTATTGAAACTTTAGTTGTCCCTAACAGAATATGAATTTGATGGAATGATTTGAACGATGGACGATAACTGTTTAAAATGATTCAAATAGTTCTCATCCATATCTTCATCAAGTTCACGTTATATTAAATGATCGTGCAGTATTAATGACAGTATAAATCGAGACACACTCACAAAAAACAACAATGCAGCATGCAGTGCAGTTTTATTAAGTTGGTTGATTTGTTATCCGGTAAAAAAGTTCGAACCTAATTAGTCTTATCAAACAGATCACGTATTCAAATCTGTGGAGATAAAAGTCTTTATATTACAGATTCTCAACTTGAAAACTCGAGAATCTTAAATATTTATGTAATCAAAGTTAAGCAGTATTTTTTCTAATTTCTCAGTCATTTCCTTTTAAGGATAAACTTCCAACATTTAATAAATAAGTATCTATAAAACCTTCAAAAGTAGCAAAGTTCTAACCTTACTCAAAGGAAGTGAATGTCTAAAATTTTCATATGGATACAAAGAATTTTGAAGTGAATTCAAAAAGATAGCTCATTTCGAATTATCGTAAAAGCAAGAAATATTTGCCAGTTTTTCTTATCATTTCATTGCTTACTTACTTACATATTATCTAAATGAAATGTATACAAAGAAAAAATTCCATTTAAATCTCATACGAATAATTAATTACAATCAAAATTTTTGAATAATATTTTAGTGCCAAAAGGATTACAATTGTAGAAATATTTCATTTAAGAATTCTTCTTTTTTTTAATGATATTTCAAAAAGTTTTTGTTTATAAAACGATTTTGATATGTATTTTTAGACTTTTTTTTCAACTATGAACTTACCGATAACGATGATAAGCGTGACAGTTTTGAAACATACTTGAACAACATACAAATTTATTGTAGCCAATGGTAAAATGCCAAGTAAAATCGATATCGATGCTTGTAAAACAGGCCAACCAACTATTTCTAATGTTCCACATAATCGTTCATATGGAACACTATAATATTAAATATTATCATTTCTCATATATACCATAGCATTTGCTAATAATCATTCATTTCCTTAATTGCTTACTTTTTTTTCCTCGATTGGTTATCACTTTGTGATATGTAACTATAAGTGATATGAATTGCAAAATCAACGCTAAATCCAACAGACATTGCAATTGTTATCATTGAGATAGCATCCAAATTTACATCCCAAAATGCCATAAATCCCATTATTCCCAATGCAATTGATCCCACTGTTAATGCAATCGCAAGCGCACAAAATGGTTGAGGAATTATTAATAATGAAATTGGTAATATTACCACTGAAAAGCAAAAATTCCTTATTGTAGAAATACAAACAGATAAAAATGTATATTTGTTTGAAGCACTTTATTGCAATTATTGTTGAAATGGATATATTTCAAGGAGAAATAATTAATTGAATTACTCAACTTATTGATACTTACTTATTGATTTCAATTCTTACTATTATTTTTTCATTGATGACGAATGATTTAAATTATTTTAAAAAATATATTTAAGAATAACAAAGTATAATCTAATAACTATTTAATGCATTATTTTTTTCATCAAATAGAACAAAAATTCATTCAATAAATATATTTACAATTTTTTAGAGAAAAAATTTAGTAATTATACCAATGGAAGTGAATAAATCTCGCAATGTTTGTGGCCACATTACACTTAGCTGATCGGCTAATTGCCATAAAAGGGAATACGTTGTGATATTGTATTGCATTTCGTATTTCTTTGCTATACTTCTAAATGAATTTGTAAACTTTTAATAGATTGATAGTATTCTGGAGGGCTTCTTAGAATGCAATACCATTAATTACCTTTTAATTTTTATGGAAAAAAAGACGAATATTAAAAGTGATTGGTAATTAACATATAAATAATTAGCATATAAATAAGATTTCCACTCTTCTCCAAAAAAAAAAAATTGGCTAGAGAATCCAAAATTAAATTATCCTTACTAGGAATGACCTTTAATGACCTTTAACCTTACTAGGAAGGTTAAAGGTCATTAAAATGAAGTTCCTTCGAATAGAAAAGTGTCAAACATAGGTATCATCAAAAAAAAATGCACTTGAAATAAAATAATTAAAATTGATGAAAATTACCTCATTTCCTCGGCACATTGAAGGACTAGTTGTGAAGAATAAGTTGGTATGTCAATAATTTGAGTGGACAATCGAAATGCCCGTATCGTTCCATTGTCATGCAATAAAATATCATAACGATATTTGTCATTGGTCAACAAAAATGGCTGTAAATTTTGCTCGAATTCCTATAATTACATTATAATAACGATGGCGATGATATCTCGGCTTTTCGAGAATTTAGGAACAAAGAAGTTTTTGGACCAATTAATCAAAATTTAAGAACGATCTATTAAAAAAATCAAAATTTGAAACTTCCACTTCTAAATCTTATACTTTGCTTCCGTTTGCAAACAAGATTCCAATAACTTTCAAATTTTAGTAGATTAAACGCATCCGCAAATTGCGAAATCGAAAAAAAAGGCATTGTTAAAGAGCAATTGTCAACCTCTTTGTCATTTTGTAAAAGATCCCAAGATTGATCATCAAATCCAAGATCATTAATAAAACGTTTGTAGGCAAAATACCAGAATTTCGTTGTATGTCTTCCAGTACTACAAATGGTGTTTTCAAATTCTCCCAGAACTTTCAAGAATCTAATTCTGTCACTTTTTTGAGACATATCGGGTGGTTTCATAACCGCTATTTCAATTGCCGGCATTTTGTATTTGAAAAATTCTCCTTGCAATTCCAGAAATTTTTTGGCTGACGAATTAACTCTAAGAAGATTGGTTACCTGAAATTTGATTCTTGAACTATTTTTGATTTCTCGATAGATTAAATATGCATTAGGGCTATTTCTACCAGGTGAAATAAATATTGTTAATGATACTGTATCGCATCTTCTATTATTCTATAGCAAAACTTGAAATTTACATAACTTTTAATTAAAACTTACATCAAATCCAACTTTCAACTGTTTGATCCCAATTACCGCTATGAAAAGATAGATAATGAACATGATAAATGCAATAATTCGAGTTGCTCGACAGGTAAGAAATGGTACGTAATAATTCCTGATGAACTGACGATACCCAAGCTGTGTGTTGCATGACTCCGTCTGGTAAAATGAATAATCAATTTTTCAATTAAAAATGTAAAATTCTGTCAATGAATCAAATTAAAATCATCCTTTCTCAATTGGTCTAAAACTTATTTTGACAAATTTCTTTACTAAAATAGCGTGGAAATTTCAATTTGGAGACATCCCCCAGTTGTTATAAATTTTCATACAGCGTTAATTAAAAACGCTTATTTAAGAATTAAATTAATCGAAGCATTAGACCGAAGTTAGGCTATGATCAATTAATTTCTAGGCCTAACTTTTTATGCGCTGTAAGTTGTTATTATATAATTTTAGCTAGCTCATTTTGCTGATTATAGATGAATACTACGCATTTTCAAAGAATCTGCTGTCTACTGGTGAACATATTGAACAGAAAATTTCGTCCTGGCACATGTAAGCTTAAAATAATTGTTCTTGGCATTTGGCGCTATGATATTAAGGCCTGGATTTTAGCCCAAGAATTTTATGATTTTTCACATAACTCAAAGATGATCGCATTTTAGTTTCACTTATCAGTTAAGTTCAGCGTGAATATTTTTTGCATAAAAAGCAATTTGTGACCTTCGCACTGTTGCATACTTTCTGAGAATGCATTGGAATTGCATCATTTTCACATTTACATCCAGTCATATTAAAAATTTTCTGCAATCTCGAAGCTTTTACTGAAACAATTGAGTGTTAATTGTTGCTATTTTGGGCAGATTACTGTTAATTGAAGCGAATTATTAAAGCTATCTGATAATTGAAATTTTAAAATTTTAACAAAAAAATAGCGCTAAGTTTTTATATTAGAAATTTACATTTACTGAACAAAATTTACAAGAAAATAAAGGCTGAATAACGTTAAGAAAAAATGGTATAAAATAATCTACCGTATTCATTAAACGGAACTGTTTTAATATAAAACAAATTATTTCGGTGTGTTTCTTCCAGTCTTCCGAAAATTGCTAAAAACGCAACAAAAGCACTTAAAGAATAGCAAAAAGTGAAAGCTATTGCTGCAGCAGAATAGTAGCAAAAATAGATTACCTGAAAAAGCTCTAATTTTAAGTATTAAATGAAATTTGTCCCACATTTATAATATATTCTATATGCATTTAAGCATATGAAGTACAAATGATCCATAATTATGTCAAAAATTAAATAATTAATTAATATTAACTAATTAATTGATGTTTAATATATGCAAAATTGAGCACAAGAAAATTTTGAATTTTACTATTAAATCGAATCAATTAAAAAAATTTATTGCCAGTAATGTTGATTTATACTTATTTCACTACTTATTTTTCTTTTTCCTACCGTTTTTGAATTTCTTTTCCATAAATGAAAACTAACAGCTGGTAACGGTGCAATAGCACCAACAAGGAAAGCTGTAATATCTGTTATTGATGTTACAGCAATTGATACGGCAGCATGTTGCATGGATGCTTTGATACGATCCTCTACGGAGAGATTCGAATTTGTATCATGCCAAGCAGCTAATATCAGGAAAGTGTCATCGATACCAACCGCTGCATTATTCTTTCATTTCATAAACCTTTACATTTCTAATTAAATCTATTTTTTGAATCGTAAATTACATCCTAGTCAATCTAATTAGGTATTTTTGCAACTGTTTTAAAGGTAAGAAGGCCAATTTCAGTGACTGAATCATAAAAGTTCATTTCATGTTTGACTATCTTCAACTACGAGTTGGATATTAATCTATTTTCTACAATTATTTTAATAAAACTTGAAATGAGCGACCAAACTAGATTAAATTGAATATTTTAAAAGATAAGTAGAAACAATTTACTGAGACTAAGAAATGGCATCATTATCACAATGTCAACGAACGGAACGCTTAAAAGTAGGAGTGAACCAATTGCCGATATGATAGCCATCAAGCTGACGATTACGCCGACAAGTCCCAGCAGTGGCTTAGACTTAAGCCAATCGATAATAAATAATGATTTGGAACAATTCGGGATTGAGAAAGTGATTATATTGAAAGTGCATAATACCGAAAATATTACTAGTAGCAGAAAAGTATAAGCAAATCTAAAAGTATTTCTAATTTTAAAGTTTCTGATTTATTTCTTGTGCTTCTTTAAATTTCACATCGAAATACTTGTTAATTTAATTTATAGAAATCTAAATTTCGTAATTTTTGTTTGATGTGAGATTAAAACGTTAAAAAATAATGACTTATTACTTTGGTGCGATGAGATGACTACTTTTAATAAGTTCCATTTCAAAAATATCCGAATGAAAGGCAAATAAATTGAGTAATTCTATCGGAACGGTTTTCTCTTCAATTCGATTACTTAATGAATTTTCATAATCCCTGAAAATTCAATGATATTTTATCTAAATCGAATAATTTAAAAATTAATGTTTTTTTTTCATACTATGAAATTAATTATGCGATGATTATATGGAAAGGTAATAAATCAGTATCAAATTTTAGTTAATTATTTATGTTTAATCAAGTACTAACAAGCTCAATTTTTGACTAAGCTCAGAGTTTTGCTGCAGTTGATAAAGAATTATCCAAGCTTTTGCTGTTTGGATTCGTTGTTTGGAATCTTTTTGTACTCCACCAAGTGTTTCTGATAGATCAATTGGTTCGGTTGAAAATTGTGAGTTAAATAATGGATAAGTGATATTGAAATGATTCTGAAAAAGAATACAGTTTTATTTAATTTATTTATTAATTTATATATTTGCTTATTTTTAATCATTTACATGCTACTTGATTCATTTTTTCTTCCTTCTCAACATTCACTATATCATTACTGTTGATTACTTTACCAACCTGATCACTACGATGAAATATATCGGCTATAAAACGGGCATGCATATCTTCGAAACATTTACCATGGTAATGCAAACATATATTACGATAAGTGTACTGTAATCCATCAATAGTAGTAAAGGTTTCATTAGCAATCCAATCGAGAAGTTTCATGAATTCACCAGTATGAGGCACTCGTAAGATGTTACCACCATCTTTGGCAAGTATAAGAAGATAAATGCTTTTTCTGCGGAATATATCTTTACCTAAAGTATTGAGTGACTTTTGCTTAATTTTTTTTTCAAAACCTAAAAATCTTTTAAAATTTAGTTTAAATGTCCATTTTATCAGACAGCGTGGTTGCAAGCACAAAACGAGAATTTTTATGAATTATTGCACCTGGATAAAACTGATCATCTTTGCTGGCCCAGCTATCCTGAAATACCTGATCTTCTAACTTCCATTGAGCCTGTAGCGGTGTATATAAGTAATGCACTCCTCTGACAATTTCAAATTTGAGAAAGATGCCGGATGAAAGTATGCAGGTTAGCAGTATTGAGACAACAATGAATGGTACCGGGTATCTGTAATATTTCATTCGCAAACTAAAACTAAAAAAACTTTCTTCGAGTTAATTTATACTCGAAAGGTGAATTAATTGGATTTAATGTCCCAAATAGGAATGACTTATACTCTCATTTTTATGACGGAAAATCAGAAATTAATTTAATCGAATCAGTCCTTCCTAACATTTGAATTGATTTTTTTGAATCAAATTTCGCCCTTATTTCCCATTATCAGTAATTTTGAAATGATAATCGGAAATAGAGAACCTGGCAACAAAGCGGCAA